TGAATTGCGGCCAGCCGCCGCTCGCTTCCCCGACCCCCCCGCCGGTGATTTTTTTTTACGGATCCCCCCTGCCCTGCCACAGACCCTACAAGCAGCGGGGATCCATGGAGTCTCTCATCCCTCCCTGAGGTGTCTCCAGGGAGGGATGAGAGACTCCAGATGCCGGCGGCCGGGCTTGGGGGCGCCCAGTATTTTTGATAATAGCAGTCATCAGCGGCTTGTGAGCCGCTGATGACAGCTATTAATTTAAAGGGGACAGTCTGCTGATCAGTTCTACTATAAGCTGATGACCATCAGCTTATAGTAGAACTGTAAATGCCAAGGACGTACGGCATACTGAGCTGGCCAGCTGGAAGCACTTTTGTAGCTCCCTATGCCGTACGTCCTTGGCAGCGAAAGGGTTAAGCCCCAACAAAAATAAACCTCTAATTGGCATATCTGGCTCATCTTGTAAATGTAGGATGTATGCTTTCAGCATGCATCACTAATATCATGGCCACAGAACCCATGCATCTCCTTTACAGACCAAAATGAAGTCTAGCATGCCTAAGATGTATAAATAGCCAAGGCCACATTCTTACCTTCCTGGCTTGTACTTGCTATCTTCTTCCTCATCAGTGTCACTCCGGATGGTAATAACGCTCACAGGTGGGCTAGGAGTATCCGGAATCACAATAGGTTGGCGTTGCTCGTGGATAGGGAGGAGCGTGTTGTATGAAGTGGAGGCATGAAGTGGGCTGCTCCCAACAAGTGAATAAACTTGAGGAGGGATAACATCCAAAGCAGAGAGGGTCCTGTACAAATAAAAATAATTAGTGCCACAATACTACAACTAAAAAATTTCCTCAGTGAAAGTTTCTAACACACCAGCCCAATAGAAGCATACAAAACACATGCTGAGAAACTAATGCTCATAGCTGTATACTGTCACATTTTTTACTTAATAAATCACAATATCAAAAACGAAGAACAAAAATAGTTTCTTTTAAAGAATTAAAAAAAAGTGATAGAGGGAATTCCAAAATCTTCTTACACAGAAACAACTTTAATCTAGCACAATGCAAAAATGAAGGATACTATCCTTCATTATGACATTGTGCCATAACTGATGTTTATTCTAATGTGTGGAGAACTGAAGGAACATGGCAGCATCATTTGGCTTTGTACTGACCACAGCAGTTGGGAAACCTAGCTTTGATATTTTACAGAGATTTCAGGAACTAGCTTTCCATCAATTATCCAAACTGAAATATCAAACTTGGATGAAGCCAATAGTACATTATACCTGCAGTAGTGTTGAACAGGGGTGTGTATCACCATTTCTCTGTCTCACTTCAATTGCAACATTCAACGTAGGTCATTTTAAAAAAACAAACTTGCTTCAGGTTATTCATTTTATCTCACCAGTTTAGCAGGGATATCATTTCTCTGGCTAAATAAGAAAAATAAATCAAGCCAATATGTACCAGCTAGCAGGTGATCATATTGTAATGCTTACCTTAAATCATTTTAAATTACTACCATGTACTCTTTGAAAATGCGCTGTAGTCTTACTTTTAAAAATAGTTACTGCCTTTACATTTATCTGCTAATTCCACCTAGTGTTCTCCAGAATTGTTAAATTGTATCTGGTACTAAGATGCATTTTTCCCAATTCACTGCTGCTAATAAAAATAACAGCCAGAAATAGTGACCCTACAATCTCAATACAAATTCGTAGGGCTGCAACAACTAATCGACATAATCAATTATAATCGATTATTGAAAAAGTTGTCAACTTTTTCAATAATCGATTAATCGGCTTCTGATCAGTTGGCCCTGTTCACAGCTCCACACGCTGTGCACCGCACCTCCTCCCCACCTCACGCTCGCCGCTGCCCGACCCGCTCGCATCCACGCTCCACACGTAAAAAATAAATTGCGAAAAAAAAAAAAAAAAGGAAACACACACAGGGACCATGCGGAACAAAAGTAGTCGCCCTACAGAAGGAAGCACACACAATTCTAGAACACTGGGTAATTCTGGGTGGAATTAGCAGATAAATGTAATTATTTATCGTGTAATAGAAATACCTGTAGTAGCAATGGTTAAATGTATCTGCCAATTCTCTCTAGTGTTTTCTAGAATTGTTACATTGTATCTCGTTACGAAGATGTATTTTTTTTCCTCTGAACAAGGATCCCAGTAGTAGGAATGGTTATATTTATAGTCTCATTCCCTGCAGCATTCTCTAGAATTGTTACGAAGATGTATATTTCCTATCCTCAGCTTTAGCTAGAGGCCATAAGGCTGTATCCATTTCCAGTACACTATTGCCCATAATATTTTAAGGGTATTCAACCAAATAGAAACAGCCCTAAGAATTTTTTTGTGTTATTTTCCATAGAAAAATTAAGTACCGTATTTTTCGCTCCATAAGACGCACTTTTTTTTTCCCCAAGAGGGGGAAAATGTGCCTGCGTCTTATGGAGCGAATCCCGACGCCCGAGACATGCAGTTTTGGGGGGCGGGGCGAGTAGTAGGAGCCACTGCTCGTTTAATACGAGTGATCCCTGCGTCCTATGGTCCGGTGCGTCTTATGGACCACAAAATACGGTAATCTTTCTTAATACTCTACCTAACTAGACATTAGCATGACTGAAGGAAACGGAAGATGTCTGTAAACCCATATAGTGAAAGAAAAATCTGATTGGTATATTTGTCCATAAAAAAAAGACACTTAACAGCTAAAGATGGAAATGCAGGATCAATAAAAAATGTAGATAAGGTACAATGACAATGGATTTTTTTTTTTTTATTATTAAATCAGCCCTTACTTGGCATTCTGAGATTGCTGTAGCTTGTTTTTCTTTGCTGACACGTTTCCATTTTGGTGCTGCCGCACAACATGAGCAACCCCCACGTTTAGAGGCTGGGCTGCAGCCAAAGTCACATGGCTAGCAAGTAATGATGGCTGCTGCATCAGTGTGCTATACTGGTTTCCATGGGAATGTGCATTTCTATTAGAAGAAAGATAAGCATATTCTGAGTACTATAGCTATTTCTGATACATGCCAAATATTTGGGTATTGCAACTTTTAGCTAGGATTGATTTTATTATACACAAACAGTACTAGGAAGTTACAAAAATCTATGTTTCTTTTAAACCTCCATCTAAAAAGTGAAATATACCCCCCCTGTTCCCTCTATTACCAAGGTCCCTGCTCCTAATTTTTAAAATATAGCCTAAAACTTGGAATGGCCAGTGAGCCAACCAGTGTACCCTACTCTCAAATGGTAATGACAATATCTTACATACAATGTAATTTAAACATCATGGGTGCATATCTTAGGCTAAGTTGGCAATTGTTTGTTTTTTTGACATTTTAGAGATGGAGTTAAGGCTCCATCTGGTTCCATAAACTTTTCTATTATTATTATTATTATACAGGATTTATATAGCGCCAATAGTTTGCACAGCGCTTTACAATATAAGGAAGACATTACAGTCACAATACAATTTAAGATGAGATGGTAAGGAGGGCCCTGCCCGTGAGGGCTTACAATCTAAAAGGGAGGGGCAAGTGATACATGAGGAGGTAGCTGTGCGGGGATGATTGTTTGAGAAAGTGATTGTTCAGTGGTTAGGTTGAGGTGGGATAGGCTTCCCTGAAGAGATGAGTCTTAAGGGATCGCCTAAAGGCAGTCAGTGTGGGAGATAG